AAGTGGCCCTGATACTTTTAATTTCCCTCTCTCTGCTCACAAGATGGCCTTCCTTCCCTGGGCCAGCTATGGTCCCTGCAGTTTGACCCTGTGTCCTTCTGTCTGTCATCCCTGCCTCTTTAAGGAGAGGCGGGAGAGATGCAAGACTCTGCTAGTCCCCTTTCCCCTTCCTCTCTGGTGTAAGGGGGCTTTGGGCTCAGGGATGACCTCAGTACCAGCTGCTTCCAGGAGCAGGAAGGAGAATTGTTTATGGGTCCATAAGGTTCATTAACAAGCCAAGAGGAAGCTCTCAGCTGCCTGGAAGATCCACGTGCACCCATTTGCTTGGGTGTGGGGCTGTAGCTGCCTGAGACTGGGCTCTGAGCAGGACTGGGAATGAGAGTCATCACACCCAATGGCTTTTTAACTTTCCTTGGTGGTGGCCCAGACCGACCTCCATAAACCCCATGTAAAAGTAGTGAGAGCTGAGCTGCTCTAGATGAAGAATTTCTTCAGGTTGCCTTGAAGCGAACGCTGCAATCTCCCTAAAATTTCCATGTGAAGATGGGAAACGAGGCTCCAGCGGGTGAAGCAACTTTTCAAAGTGCTCATTGGCAGGACTCAGTCACTCCCAGGTCTGCAGACTTTGGGCTGGGTTCTGACATCTCCTGCTGCAGCTTGCAAAGGAGGTAGAACATGGGGCAGACAGAGCTGCGACCCTGTGACACGTACAGAGACTCTGGGCAGGTATAGCCATTGAACATCTGGAAGAAGCTAATGGTTGGAAGACTGTTGGAGGCAGGTGATCCAGGAGAAACAGCAGGGGCAGGCAGAGAAGACAGGCAGATACAAAGGCAGATGTGACCAGAGTAGGTAGGCAGCAGCCTGAGGTTGGACACGCTACCGTGGGTGGCTGGATGCCTCCTGGGTTTCAATAGCTTAGATGCAATTAACTGGTTGTTTGGTCCCAGTGGAGGCTCTCTGGGCTCACGATCCCCCTTGAGAAAAAGATGATACGTTTCCTTTGGAGATACTTAACTTGAAAGGAAGGGAGGTTTTTGTCTTATTCTTTTCTGTTAATAAAATAGCTCTTGTTTTAATAAAGATCCAAACCCTCCAGCAGACAGTTCATGGGAAAGAAATACAGAAGATCAATAAACATGTGGCATTATCAAATTATTATACAATTCATTAGCCTCAAATTCAAACAACAATGAGATAGATATCATTTTTCACCCATTATTACCTTTTAAATAGGAACATAATATTTCTATTGATCAGACTGGGAAAAACGCAGACTTTCTTCATCTAGGTAGAGCCTCACTTTGTACAGCCTCTTCGGGAGGCTCCTTTGAACAATATTGGTCCATATGAGTCAAAATAATCAACACACTACCACCAAGAACCTAATTCCACTTCTAGGCACCCACTGTACAAACATTCATGTCATGTTTAGAAATATGTATGTTCAGGAACGCTCAGTGCTACATTGTTAAAGTAAAAAGCTCTAGACTTTTTGAAAATATCCATGAGCAAGTCAATAAAGGAGCAACGGAGGCAGCTGTGTGAAAATGTAATAACAGGCTGAAAAACAGGTGATTTGTTCTGCCAAGTGGAGAGATCCGCAGGCACCTGGTTCCTTGAAAAAATAAGTTGCACAATGGCACACATCTCAGGTGCAGAATCTCATTGTAAAACCTCCACATTGAAAGCAGATGAACCCCTGCATACAATAGGGTATGTTCTGGACCCTTCCTTCCCCTATGAAGAAGCATCTGCCGAACCTCTGGGTGAGCAGGGCCTTCCACTGGAGTGTTAGGGCTCTGCAGTCTGTTGTCTGCAATTGTGTGTGCCATCTTCCTGGGCCAGGCACCGTGTAAGACTTGAAGATCTCCTCTGTATCGCAGGTGCTCTAGTCTTTGGGGCCCTGAGGTTAGCACCCAGACTTTGGGGTAGGGGGCTTTTCAGAATGGTTAGTGCAATTTTTGGGCCATTTCAAGGAAGTTGCAAGTAAATTACAATTGTAAATTATAATTAGCTAACATGCTAAGAGACAAATTCAAAGGCACATTAAACTCTCTGTCACCTCCAAGTTGTCCTTGGCACTCAATCCAAGCAGGGAAGGCACGCTAAGGGGGTGAGATGCTGGGGTTTCTGTTTCAGCCTTGGGGAGTTCAGTTGGGAAAATTCTCCACCTCTTTGCTTGGCTTTAGGTGGTGGGTTATTGTGCCACCAGGGGGCAGTGCTGCTCCACATGCGCAGACACAATATATTTAAGAAGCCCCACCAGGGTCAGTTGATAACTAGACAGAAATCTGGCCTCCATAGCCTGAGGCCCCGTGGCAAGCCAGTGCCTACTTTCTCTTAACTGCTGGCTTCTGAGTGCTCCCTCACAATCCAGCCACCTGTGGGAGGCTTGTCCATGGTGGAGACTGACACCAAAGAAGGAAAACTTGCTCGAGGTAAAATCTTGAGGTCATGGTGAGATAAGATTGTCAGATGAATACAGATATGCATCTATTTCAATGTTAGATCAACCCATGGAATCCTTTGGTGCAAATATGTGGGTTGGTGTACAGAGAGAATGGCACACAAATGTAGTATAAAGTACAGATGTGTTGTTTATCCTGAAATTTAGAAAATGTACTTCGTATCTGCTGTTTGCTCAAGTCTGCAGCAGCCTTGGCTGAGCTTCCCAGGCTCTGATCCCACTAAGCTGAGGCACACTCCAGCAGTTTCTCCCTCCCAAAGTGACTTTCAAGAAGCTCCATTTTCATCGCAGCTGCTCCTTTAGATCTGGAAGGCTTCTTTAGTTGCTAATGCAGGCGAGATTTCATATCGGCTCTTCCCAGAGAAAACCCGACTGGCGCTGGACAGAGTGAGTGGGGGGCAGAGTTGGGCAGCCTCGAACCATGCTGCCCTATCTCGCTAGTTCTGTGACCCCTTCCTTTCCACTCCTCCTTCCCTGCTACTTCCTTCCTTCCTTCCTTCCTTCCTTCCTTCCTTCCTTCCTTCCTTCCACCCTCCCTTCCTTCCTTCCTTCCTCCCTTCCTCTTTTCCTCCTTCCTTCTTTCCTTCTTCCTTCTCTTCTTCCTTCTTTCCTTCCTTCCTTCCTCCTTCCTCTTTCCCTTCCTTCCTTCTTTCCTTCCTCCCTCCCTCCCTTCTCTTTCTCTTCCTTCCTCCTCTTTATCACCTGGCCCAAGAACTCTGGGGAAAGAAAGAGCTATTCTCAAAAAGACCTTTATGGCCCTGTCCTAGGTTCTTTCACAAACCAGCCTCCTGTTCCCCAGGGCTCAGAGTTATTCAGAATGAAGGGTTCATCATGAGTCGTTGTAGCAATCAGTGTTTTCCAGAGAAACAAGCTGACAGGTCTATATATGTATGTATGTATGTATCTTGCATATGCACAAGTATATATAAAATTTATTTTAAGAAGTGATATATATGCGATTGTGAGGCTGATAAGTCAAATGTGCAGGAGCAGCTGCATGAGCTGGCAACTCAAAGGTTATTTTTGCAGTGCCAGAATTGGTGATACCTTTACTTTTTGACCTCAGTCTTCCTCTTCAGGCCTCAGTTCAATTGTGTGAGACAAACCCACATCATCGAGGCTGTGTCTCTACTTTACTTCAAGTCCACTGGTTGTAGATGCCAACCACAGCTACAAAATGCCTCCACAGCAACACCTAGACTAGTGTTTGAAGGAGTCACTGGGGACTAGAACCTGTCAGGTGACACATCGCTGACCATCACAGTGGTCACAATCAGTGAGAGGCTGAGGAGGTGGGGACAGAGGTTGCAGAGCCTGAGGCCCTGGGAGTTCTAGTGGCTGCAAGTCAGGTCCCACCTCTCTTACCCTTCTCTCCATGGTTCTTATGGCTCCTCCTGATTGACCTACTTTGAAAAGAATGCCTCCACAGCCATCTGGGGACTCTGGACGGGGAGGTAGGATATGCTCTCAGAAGAATCCCTTCACCAGAAGGTGTGGTATAAGCTGGATTGCTGGACTAACTCTGCTGTAGCCACTGCCTGGCTCTTGGACCACCTGTGCCAATCCCTGTTTCTTCTTAAAATGATGGAGAGGTGAACCCTGCCCCCCATGGGTAATGTGGAAATTCATGAGAACCCAGAGCAGTTCATAGAAGTCAAAGGCATGAATTGTATCTGTCTCCTAAGTTGCTTACAGAGTAGCAGGAGAAGGCCACGGACCTAATAGCAAGATGGCAAAACGAAAAGGTGCTGAGTCAGACCTCAGCTAGAGAGAGGAATCTTGCTCCACCCCAGGTCTGACTATATCTTCTTGAAATATGTTCAGGAAGAGGTGATTTTCTGAGTGTGACTCCTCTATTTCATAACATGTACATCTATGTGTAACACAGTGAACAGCTGGTTCCTTCCTTCCTTCCTTCCTTCCTTCCTTCCTTCCTTCCTTCCTTCTTTCCTTCCTTCCTTCCTTCCTTCCCTCCCTCCCATCTTTCTTTCTTTCTTTCTTTCTTTCTTTCTTTCTTTCTTTCTTTCTTTCTTTCTTTCTTTCTTTCTTTCTTTCTTATTTTCTTTCTTTCTTTCTTTCTCTTTCTTTCTTTCTTTCTTTCTTTCTTTCTTTCTTTCTTTCTTTCTTTCTTTCTTTTTCTTTCTTTCCTTCCTTTCTTCCTTTCTTCCCTTCTTCCTTTCTCCCTTCCTTTCTCCCTTCCCTTTCCTTCCTTCCTTCCTTCCTTCCTTGCTTCCTTCCTTCCTCTCTCTTTCTTTTCTTTCTTCTTTCTTTCTTTCTTTCTTTCTTTCTTTCTTTCTTTCTTTCTTGCTTGCTTGCTTGCTTGCTTGCTTGCTTTCTTTTCTTTCTTGCCCAAACTGGAGTGCAGTGGCGCAATCTTGGCTTACTGCAATCTCCGCCTCCCTGGTTCCAGTGATTCTCCTGTCTCAGCCTCCTGAGTAGCTGGGACTACAGGCGTGCACGGCACCATGCCCAATTAATTTTTGTATTTTTAGTAGAGATGGGGTTTCACCATTTTCTGGTCAGGCTGGTCTCAAACTCCTGACCTCAGATCATCTGCCCACCTCAGCCTCCCAAAGTGTTGGGATTACAGGCATGAGCCACTGCGATAGCCTAAATTATTGATTTATATCCCAACTGTTTGCCAAAAGGATTAGGTGACATATTATACATGCACAATAAGACACTGGAAACATAAATAGAAAGCTGTATACCACATCACAGGAGAGAAGCATATGTGCTTAACAACTGGGCTTCCAGTGTGCCTGTACTTGACTGGCAATAGTGACGCTGAACTTCCTGGCAGCCTAGGCAAAAAGGAGGGCTCAATGGATTCCGCAGTTCACGTGTCTTGCAACCAGTTAGTCATAAAACCAGAGCTTCTGCTTGGGGAGGGGAGCAGTGGGGTGATTGCTCCCAGATGTGGACAGCTCAGCAAGGGCTCCAGAATGTGTGTATGAGTGGGTGTGTGTGTTGTGGGGAGGGACAGAGGGAGCAGTGTGCTGTTACCACGGTTTAAGTACTGGCTGGATAGCTCCTTAGCAGGAGAAAGGCTTTCGGACAATAGCTCACATTAGGGGCAACTCTTCTAGTTGGCATCTCAGTGTTGGTCATCTAAATTCATGTCTTGGTACTCTACTGCTATAGGATTTAATGCAAAGAGAGAAGAGAGGCCTGGTTCCAGAACATTCCAGGTATCTTGCCTCTTTGTCTGGTGAAGATGAACACAGTGAGTCACCTGGGCTTGGGTCTTCTGGATATGCCTGAGAATATGAAGAATGCAGCATTGCTGTGCATGGAGGATGAGACCCTGTAGAAGATGTGTCAATTGAAGATTGCTGTAGGCTAGTCCCAGCAGGGCAGTGACTTTTGAGATGGTTGATGATGTGTTAAGCTTTGTTTTCAGGGAACGTGCTTGTCATTGGAGGTATCTGTGACTCACCATTGTGATCAAAATTAGTTGTGAATTCTGGTCCTGCCACTGTCACTGTTGATTTGCTTAACCTTGTCTGAGCACGTCTCTCTGGGCTTTATTTCCTCATCTATCTCTGAGGTCCTTTCCAACTGGAATTTGCAAAGATTCATTGAGGGGAGCAAGGAAGGAGGAGCCTCAGTCTGTAGGAGCTTTCCTTTCTTAAAGAAAAAGGTCAACCCCTGGTTCTTATAGATGCTCAGAACATGTTCTTGGGGGAAAACGCTTAAAGGTTTGCTTTGGGCCCTGCTGGGCCTGGGGAGGTCTCTGGAGAAGAGCTTGGGGCAGAATCAGAAGCAGCAGAAGCTATGGGTGGCTGCATGGAGGATGATGCACCCCACAAGGTGCTGCTTCAACCTTTTGACCAGGCCAGTGGGAGGGGGGCACATCCTAGAGCCAAGAGGGTTCCCTGTAAATTTCTAGATGTGGTTTCACTGCAACTTTGCTTTTCTCTTACTCCAGAGAAGTGAGACCCTGGAGCTGAGGGAGCATCATGGCAGGTGAGTTTTTCCAGACCCGGGCAGAGCCGTGGAGGGTCATGCTTAGGGGTTCATGAGTCAGGTTTCAAGTCCTTCCCAGCTTCCCTGCCCCCCACTCCCCAAGTGGCCCTGTAGCCATTTTCCAAATAGCTGAGTAGCAGTTTTGCCCTCTCAACACTTTGGCTCCCTTCTGGAGCATATGTTACTGGTAGATGTGTACCTACCCAGACTTGCCTGAGTGACACTAACGTGACAGGCCATAGGACCTGGGGAAGGGTGTTTGCCCACTGGCAAAGACATGCCAGCTTGGGTATCCAGGGGGAGTTGCTTTACATGGGAACCAGGAAGTCCCACCTCTAGGTGAACAACAGGAGCAAACGTCACCTCTTCTTTCATCCTTCACAGTCTCAACTTAGGCTTATGTGGGTGCAGAGCTCAAGCTATTCTGGTCAGCCTGGTTGTAGCTGGGTCTCTCTCTCTGGAATAAGTAGATATGCGCACCATCCAAAGACAGTATTGTAGGGGGAGTCTGTGCCCTGTCTGTAAAGGCTTAGACTCTCCATCTGAACCCTGCTACTTCCCATCCCCAGAGGTGCTCTTAGGCTCGTGTATGCCCACTTGTCTGATCTAGCCCAGGCTGGCTTTGCATTAGGCTTTCTTGAACAAGACTATTGATGCCAGACAACTTGGTGGCACAGGTGGATGTTCAGGTGGAGGAATGCCACCCTGGTAGAGTCTTCTAGGATTATCTGGTATTAGTTCTACCAATATCAGCCTTAAAGAGGAATACATTCTCATTGCAAGGGCTCCAACTTTCACTTTTCAAGGTGATGCAAAAGATACTGGAGATTTAGTCACTGAAGATTGCCTACTCACAGTTCTTATTCTTTATTGTTCCTGTGCAACGTGCACTTTCCTTGCAGTTGGCTCCCATTTTCTTCCATGTAACCAGGGGCCTGAGCCTTGTTGGGGCCGTGGTATTCTAGACAGGTGTATCATGGCACCATAGAATGTCAGCCTTTCCATCCCTTTTACAAAGGGCTGGCTATGTCCTTTGATCAGAAGCCTAGTGTCTTGCCTGCTCACTCGGCCTTGTTTCCCTGTGTAATTATGCTTCAGTTGCTGGGCTGGGCCTGGTTTGAAGGAGCCCCTGGGCATCTCCCCATTCCAGACCTCAGTAGGGCTGTCTCTTCAGTTTTTCTGGAGGCCAAGGATGCCCATTCGGTCCTGAAACGATTCCCTCGTGCCAATGAGTTCCTGGAGGAGCTGCGCCAGGGCACCATCGAGCGAGAGTGCATGGAGGAGATCTGCAGCTACGAGGAGGTCAAGGAAGTGTTTGAGAACAAAGAGAAAACGGCATGTACCACCCTGGGACTGGTTCTGGGAGTAGAAGTAGCCTCAGGAATAACAAGAACAGGCCCTGGTAATGCAGATGAGTCAGAAGCAAGGAAAGCCACCCAGCGTAAGGCATAGCCACTAGGGCCATCAAGGAGCAGATAAAGTCCGTACAGTCCCATTGTCTGACTCTTTTGGGGTCCTCCTCACTTGGGAGCATTGTCCTTTGCCCTTGGTACATTCTGCTGCCTCTCTAGTAACTCTCTGAGACAAGTCAGATGGGGAAGGGTAGGAAGCAGCAGACTTACTGAAGGTCTCTGAGCCCACCTGGAGCTTGAGCTTCTCATAAGTACCCCTTTTTCTTTTGCAGATGGAGTTCTGGAAGGGATACCCAAATGCAGTATACTCAGTCCGAGACCCCTCACAGAGCTCAGATGCCATGTACGTGGTGGTACCCCTTCTGGGGGTGGCATTGCTGATTGTCATCGCCTTGTTCATCATCTGGAGGTGCCAGCTACAGAAAGCAACTCGTCACCACCCCTCCTATGCTCAGAACCGGTACCTAGCCAGTCGCGCCGGGCACACCCTCCCCCGGGTCATGGTGTACCGGGGTACCATGCATAGTCAAGGGGAGCCTTCTGGGCACCGAGAGGCAGTGAGCAGCCCCCAAGTGGTGGTGGGGCCCAGTCGGGGGGGCAGGACCACAGTCCGACTCGAGAGCACTCTCTACCTCCCTGAGCTCTCTCTCTCCAGACTGTCCAGCACCACCCCTCCCCCCTCCTATGAGGAGGTGACTGCGCCCCAAGAGAGCAGCAGTGAGGAGGCCAGCATGTCTTACAGCGACCCACCCCCAAAGTACGAGGAGATAGTGGCCGCGAACCCTGGCGCTGACAAATAGTGGGACGTTTATGCCCTGTCCCGGATGAACGCCTCTTTCTGAGGTCTCATATTTTCTTTTGAACTTTTTAAAGACTGTGCCACCACAAAACAGCCTTAGCCTCCTCGTTGCCAAATAATTCCCTAACTGCGGAGTTTTAGGAAGTCAGCTGTCACAGACAAGTGGGGAGGGTGGGGGTAGGGACCACACATAAGTCAAAGCTCCCGGAAGAGCCAAAGGCCAAAGTGCCCAACTCTTTGGGATGACCCCCAAGCCTCCAACATCCTGTCTTTCCATCAGGAACTGGCTTCTCTTATGCCAAAGGAATCACCCCATTGAGTTGATTGTAACCAGAATGTCCAAAGGCCCAGCCCGGGGGCTGTGGGGCTGGCTGGAGGCCTGTCTGTGTCTGGAGCCCTGGGCCATAGGGGTAAGGGAGGGAAGCCAGCCTTTCAGCACCCCTTTCCCTCCACAGTTCTGTGCTTTCTGTCCTTGCTTATATTTGGAGGACAGGGACAAGGATTGAGCAAAAACAAAGTGAAAAAAATCATGACAAATAAATAATGAACACAATAGAACAAAACTCTAGCACCCGGGCCGTTCATAGGAGGCCAAGGGAAATTGATCACATGGATCTGTGATGCCCACCTGCCCCAAAACCTGTCCCCACATTCCTGGAAGGAGGACAGGGTGTGTGAAGCATGAGGGCCAGAGGGCTGGGTGGCAGAGTTTCCTCATCCACATTGACCAAGGGGCCCACGTGGACTCTGCCATTCAGTTTCTAGTGTGCTTGTCTCTCCAGACATGTGGACCAGCTGTGTTCAAACCACTACCCACTGGCATGAGCCTACTTTTTGTGAATGGTGCATTGAAATTGAACTTCAGATTGAGAATTTCTCCTTAATGATGGTGCCCATCTCGGGAGAAGATCCTAAAGTGTCCCTTTTAAAACACTTGTGGAGAAGCCCGTGGCCTGGAGTCGAAGGCCCATTTGGGGTTTGCTCTGCTGTTGCCAGGTGCCAGTCTGTTTTCAGTGAGGCTTTGGACAGCAGTAGGGCAGAAGGCACCTGCCCTTTAACTGTCAGTGACCATGCTAGACACTGTTGATACTGCCTCCCCCTACTTCCGTCTCCATCCTCTTGACCTCAACACCAAACCATTTCTCCTCTGTGGTGCTTTAAAAACTGTAGCAAATTTTTGTGTGGTGCAGGAATGCATGGCCTGGGTCTATTGGCAACCACAGCAGTTTAAAATTCACTCAGTTGACAAGCTTCTTTCTATCAAAATATCTCTCTAAGGCAGACATTGGGACTCATTCCTTGAATGCAGCCCTGCCTTCAGGCCACAGAGGACTTCTGGAGGCTGCTATAGCCCTGAGGACTTGTCCTGGGACGTGCTTCCAGTGAGAAGGCTTGTGTCCCTATCCCAGTGAGGCCACCAGCTTGGACCACTCGACCCTGTGGCTGGGGTTTTCCATCCTTCCCCCTACCTCATAGGCCTGTTGGAGGCTGACTGAGCAAATGCCTGTGAAGTGCTTGAAGTGCCAGGAAGCCAGTGAGGTTTGCCTTAGGAAGAGTCTTCTAGAAAGGTGCAGGTTGTAAGGAAGCAGTCTTAGCTGAGGCCCTCATATGCCTCTGATGTTGAGTCTCCACTTGGGGAGTCAATCTCCCGTCAGTTGACCCTTTCCATCCTCTCGTCCTCCCCAGAGCTCCCTGATGCCAGAGATGCTAAGCAGGTGACATTCTACCTTTCATTCCTTTGTCTTTCCCTCCCCTGGGCCTTCAACATTGCACTCTTGCCCTTCGTCACAAAGGTGTTTTTGGCTTAGAAGGCCCCTGCTTTTTCCATGTTGGGGGACCTGGGGAAACCTGAAGCTCGGGGCTAGCCCTGGCTCTCCCAATATTTCTTCAAGTAGGTGCCAGAGTGTGACCTGGGAGCAGGTGAGAAGAAACTTATCCTAAGTCTACTCAGCACAGAGCCGGGCATGAGCTCCGCTGATCAGAGCCAAAGGGAGCTTGCCAAGAAATGCCCGCTGCCTTTGGCATCTGAGTTGCAGCTGGGTGGTAATGGGAGAGAGCAGGAAGAAGCCCAAAGCCTGGCCCATGGAGAGCAGCATGTGTCCTTCAGGGACTGAGGACAGGCCATGGGAAGAGTCACAGGTGGTTGCTTAAGGCCTGTGGTGTTCGGTTCAGATGCTTCACGATGTTCTGCCAGGTGGGGTTGCACCATGGTCTCTGGGATGGTTTTTGCAGCACATTGTAGAAAAAAGACTGTACAGCACACAGCGGCATCACTCCTTGCGGTGCACACTTGGCTTTTACGAATGCCCTGTACATATCTTTTCAAACTCTGTCTTTGTATGGAGGTGGATTTGATACAATGCTAACTCTTTTGTGGCTACATTTTTGTTGTTTTTGGACTTCTATGCGTGTGTGTGTGTGTGTGTGTGTGTGTGTGTGTATCTAAGTGTGCACGTTGCCTTTTCTCATTGCTTATCTGAAACAATAGCCGGTGTGCAGCTATATTTGTACCAGGAAGGATCCGGTCTGAAAAGAGGAATGTCACCTCCCCTCCCAGGGCTGAGTAGCCTGATGACAGGACCCTGAGCAAGGAAAAGTGACATTAACTATTGGACGCCCAACCCCCAAAGTTGTCACCCTTTGCCTCCTTGAAAAAGGCTTTGGAAGAAGACAAAGCAGCTCCATTCTGCAGGCCTCCACCCTGTGCAACCCCCGCTCACACGCCCTTTTGGCATGATGCCCCTGGCCCAGGCTCCTGTTCTGTGAGTGTCAGCAGCTGAAAGAAATCTGAGCACTCCTGGGCATGTTTTTTTTTTTTTTTTTTTTTTTTTTTTTCTTTTTGTGGAAAGATGTGTGACTATTGACTTTGGGTATGGCGGGACTAGTTACTTAGATGTTTTTCATTTTTCAAAAAGAAGTCTTTAAAAATTTCTTGAAATGTGACTGTCACTTGTTTTCAACCAAAAACTTTTTAAGATTTTTTAAAAGAAAAATCGAGATCCTGTCCCTCCCCCCACTCCCCATTGCCTCTGGTTTTCAAAATGAAAGCACAAGTGCAAGAGTGGGGTGCACAGGTGCCTGGCGTGTGCACACCACCCGCACAGCTGCGTCGAGCCCTGGCTGAGGGAGACGCAGTGCTGAGCAGTCAGCCCCGGGAGGTCTCTCTTTCAACTTCCAATCCCACTGCCATGAATGTGAATTCCTTAGGGTGCTTCCAGAAACAGGAGTCTGCCTGGTCTGTCGGACATCGCCTTTTTGGTAGCCCGAATATGAGGAATTCAGGACAGGAAAGTGTCTTTTTGTCAAGTAGTAAGAGCCGAATGGTTCCCCTCTCCCAGTGGGTGGAGCATCACAACCCCCAGCCGGAGCTGATCTTTTGACAACCAAATGACATCCCATGAGAAGGAAGAAAAAAAAAGTTAAACACTGCCTCTAGATTGTTATTTTGTCCGAGAGAGAGAGATCATGCAGAGAGTCTCACTCACAGAGGCTCTGTCTTTCTAGGAGTATGTATGTGTGCTGTCTCATGTGTGGACACTCACAGTTGAGGCTGAGATGGATGTCTTGGCAGTAGAGCTGCTGGTCTAGGTGGCTTTTCAGCCTGACAAGTAATGAAGCTCCATTTCAGGACTTCACCGATTCAGAAACAAGCACAGCCCCCCACCCCCCTGCCACGGAACTCTACTGATACTAATCACTACAATTAGCTAATTTAAAAGTACAGTAATCAGACTGCTTGCAACTATAGTAAAAGTCCATTAATTTGAAGCCCACTACTTCAGAACTTTGAGAAAATCACAACTCAAGACAATTCACAGTAGCTGTGATTCTGGCTACGTAAAAATATTTGAAATATTCTTCCCTTTAGCCAATGTTCAGGGTCTTTTGTGTAAGAGAAATCCAGTTTAAAATGAGTACCCTTTTCAAAGAAAAGGCCCAAGATATTAAGGATCCCTTCACCGTGCCTTCAGCTTTGCGGTTCAGCACTTCTTGTATGTACAGTGTGATCTCTTGTTCTCTGTCCATCGCAAGGATGTTGGATATTGCAGCCTTTCACTCTACTCCTTTATTTATCCTGTGAATAACATAGTTTGTGAACTGGACTGCAATTTAAACTAATACACGTGATGTATCTTTCTAAATATTCTGTAAAGCAGATGCTTCACTGTCAGACTGGCCGCTCCATCATTCGCCTCCAAATATTCAAACGTGGGAGCTTTTCCTTTCAGACTGTGGGCAGCGAGTCTCTCTCTAGCAAGAATTTCTCTGACAAACATACCCAAATAGCACACCCTCTCAAGCTCAATGCCTCAACAGTTGTTTCACTATACTGACATCTGACTGCTGAACAGTGCCTGCCCTTTACCCACCCCCAGCCTTCAGATCTTCAGGATTGGGACAAATCCCCCAGCTGCTTTTGCCTCTCAATCCATCTCCTCTCACAGATGCCACTTTTCCAGGCCTGAACACATCTGCTATTTCATTCTGACATTGTGAATTTGTGACAGTGGAAACCCTGATATGTGCAACTGAGCTTATAGAAATAATTACTGTGAAATTGATTAATTTTGGTACCACTTTAAACTGTGCTTGTATTCATGTGTTAACCCTTGTCAGCTGGGAAATCTGTGCATTCAGTAATATGTCAGCATTTCACTGGAGCCTGGGAACAACAGACAAACTTGCTTCTGATTTCTCTCTCTTTCTTTTCATAATTGTTGAGTTTGGCTGTTACATTTTGTCTTCTTCTTTACAAGAAAACAATAATAATAAAGAGCAAATGGCATCCACTTGAATCCTGTCCTCATCCATCTTGGATCCCTACTGACTCCCAAACTTCCAAGGGGTATGGGTGGTTGTGGGTCAGACTGTAGGTAAGGAAGTAGCCCAAACCAGTCCAGGAGCAGGAAGCAGATATGTCCTGGGTCCTAAAGTTTGTCCCCAGTGTGTAAAATGATCTCCTGACCTGTCCTTCTGGGATGAGGTTAGTAAGATCTGTCACAAATCATAGCTAGAAACTTCCTAGTCAGATTATCCCTGCTTACTAACAGAGGTGTCCCTTGCTGGAAGGATGCCCTGCTTGGTTTCAAAGCTGGGAGAGGAGTAGAAGGTGTACAGTACTCAGGTTTTGCCCTGGCTGGGCTTCCTGAGTTCTAAGGATGGCAAGGGTCAGGGATTGTTCAGAGGGCAATAATGCGCAGCTTCTGCACAGAGGAAACATGGTCTTAGCCCTCAGAGATTCCCAGCTGTGGGTATGCAGAGAGATATAGCCACAGGAAGTCGCAAGTGCTAGTTGTGCCAACTCCAAGTAATGAAAGTAATCTGTCCTTTAATCGGGAAGACCCTGGAAGTGATGGGACAATGGCAGTGAAACTTGGGACCTCCTTAGAAGACTGAATATGGAGCCCAAATGCCATGAATGGCAGCCAGAGGCCTTGGGGAGATGGGGCTTGAGTGATGCTTACCTTCTGGGGATGCTGGAAAGTCAAAGGAAGGCCCTTCAGGCACACAGATGGGGTCATATTCTGAACATGGGTTTTGAACTTTAGGCTCTTTTG